TTGATTTTTTTGTATGTATGGATCACTTGGGTTGTTACCGACATCTGGTGAAAATTTCATGTCATTAGCACCTCTAGTAATATATTTACTGAGAAAAATGATGACATGTTCAATACTTATTTTACCCGCTGTATATCCTGGGTCTCAGGAGGATTTTCTTGTTGTCTGATATTTAACGTTTCTGCTCTCCAACTTAAGTTAACTAAAATTCATGGTTTGACTGATGAAGTTTGAAAAACAAAACTTTCTGTAAATATCTGTAACGTATTTCTGTCAACATGCTGTCCTGTGGTCAGACTTTAATCCCATTGTTTACAGGTGTGTCAGTATTGTGGCTCAGGAGATTTACCTGGGTGGATCAAACCTTGATTTCTACAGATTTGTCGTCGTTCAGTCCTGTATAATAAAGTGTTTTTGTTTTTTGTAAAAGTTGTTTGTTTCAGGGTTCGTTCACACTTGGTGTGTGTCAGTTCATTCACACAGGAAGTGGGGGGAAGGTGCTAAAGGAGATAACTGCCTGTTTTTCCATCGAACATTTAACGTTACAAATAATTTCCAAAGAAATTAAATGTGAGATATCTCAGATATGAAAGCAGACAGACAAAAATGTTTTTACTAATCTGTTAATTGTGAATTCAAGACAAAATAACTTCATGAAAATTAATGAATACAAACATTCTACAAGAAAAGCAAATGTAACAAAGGATTGTGTTCTCCTGTGAAAGTTTTGAATATTTTAGGTTCACATGAACATCCTCAGTAGTGGCTCTTTGGCTAAACATGAATGCGAGTCATTAATGCTACTCTTAGAAAAGGAAAATACTTAAGGCTTTAGTGCTTCATCACTAAATATGAAACCTTTAACAAATGTGGGAATGACTCAGTCATCATTCTAAACACTACCAGACTTCCGTATTTCACCATTTGATAGCTCAGAAAAACAGTATTTTTTCCTTAAATTTATAAGAACAAAATGTCTTATGAAATGTCGATTGTARTACTAAAAACCATATCAACACCTTAGCTGGCACCAGCATTAAGATTTCTGGGCACGAGACTTTTGGCACCTGCTAGCAGTCAAGTTAGATTTTGTGCCTGCGGAGCTACATTTGAACAAATTAATCCTGTTCAAATCCTTCACTTACAACACAAAACCTTGTAAATTATCAAATATGGTCGAACTGCTGACAAGGTAAATGAGAATATTTTTTTAAATACTGTTAGTTGCTGATAGCTAATGCTAGCTGTTAGCTTTAAGATTTTATTTTTGACGACCCATTGTTCAAAAGGCATTACATTTATCTTTGTCAATAAATTAAAACACAAAATTCACTTACTGGAGGGTTTTATTAATAGAAAAACAAAAGTTAAGTGCTTCAGGACATCATTCATTGCAGTTGGCAGGTTACTGAACTTTTTTTATTATTGGTTTACAGAACTTCTTAGGCATATTTTAATGTGTAGTTTAAATACTTGGCTTAGGAACAGTTGTATGGCTATTGTGCAACAAAAACAAAAATACTTAAGTGTTTTTTCTTTTTTTCACCCCACCATAAAATTCAACATGGAAGCATTGGTTGAACGCTTCAGTTCGGAGACAATCCTCTGTAGAAGCACAAACTGCTACTGAAGAAATGCTTATTATCAGCGTGAAAACATGAAGGTTTCAAAAAGAAACTTGGAGATTTCAGTTTGGTCAAACAGGACCTTTATAAGTGACTGTAAAGGGCTTTTTACTGACCCAATACCTTTAACTGTGGTCCAAATACAGATGGACAAACATTCCTTCACACTTTAAAGTCCTCCTTATGTTTTGTAATGGCTTTAAATTGCAGAATTAGTGAGCTTCATCTGTCTGAGCTTCATCTATCTTCATCTTTCACTCTCCTTTAGATAAATTAAGGGATGCTTGCTAAATATGCAGGAGGCAATGTGGTGTAGCTCTAAACTCCGTGTTTTTATCGTCTTCCTGTCGCCCCAGCGGCGGCACTGCTGCTCCGGTTGAGGTTGCGGCTGAGCTGGGGGAAGTGGACCGTGGGCGTCCTGGACGTGGGCCCGTAAAGGCCCAGGTTTCTGGCCGCCAAAGACTTCCTGGGCTGCTTTATTAAAGGGAACGGGGAGAAGACCTGCTKCTTCGGCGTGCCGGCGGCCGACGGGGAACAGGAGAGGTTGGATGGAGACGATGAAATGGAGCAGAGTGAAGGGGTGGAGGGGGAGCAGGCTTTGTTCAGAGGAAAGGAGGAGGGAAGAGCGAGAGCTGATAAAGCGTTGGTGGAGGAAGAAGACGGGAGAGGGGAGGTCAGTGAAGGTGAGATGGGGGAAGAGGGACCAGGAGACGGAGGAGAAACCGGAGCTGTACTTGATGTGGAAGGAGGAGGTAGAGAAACAGGAGGACAGCGTTTCTCGGACTCTTTGTGTCTGTTTGAGGGTGGAGGTGGAGGGAGAAGAGGAATCGGGGGAGCAGGTGGACTTCCTTGTAGTTCTGATTGTGAATCCGGCTTGTTGAAGGAAGTCTGCTTTGCTTCCAGATCTATCGAGTCCAGCTGCACCACCACCTCTTCAACTTCTGCCTTTTTCTCCTCATCTGAACCCAGAGGAGCCTCCTCACGCACCGTACTACAGCCGAAGGCTTCAGGAGATGGAGCCACAGAGGAGTCACTCTCCTCCTCATCTGTTTTCTTCCTCTCCCCGCCCTCCACTCCAACTGATTCTCGGTCCTCCTCATCATCCCCATCCTCTAACTTTTCTTCCGCATCTTCAAACCCAAGCTGCGCTCGAGCCCTGGCTATATTCCTGCGATGCTGCCGGACGTGAGCACGCCAGGGAGACCCGGCGCCGCCTCCAGAGCTCCCAGGAGATCCAGTGCTGTTGGAGAGCAGCGAGCTGCAGCGTTGCCTGGACGGAGACCGCTCGCCGAGGGACAGGGGAACCGATCTGGACCCCGGGAGCGAGGGGGTGCTGGCGGACATCGGTCTGCAGCTTCGGGAGCCGCCTCGCTGCTTTCGACCCAGGAGGAGGTGGTTGATGACTGAACTGGACGGGTTGAGCTGGGAGGCCAGGACACGTGTGGCAGGACACTTGTCTGAATTAAAGTGAAAAATGAGAAAGCAGACAAAAGAAACAAATTAAACCTCTTTAATAGAGCATGTCAATACTTCAAAGCAGCTAAAGAGTCCTGCAACGGAGAAGCAGAAGTGTTTAAGGCATCAGACACCAGAGGGCGCCCCAAGCTTTAAGTTTCATTTTTAAGGTTAATATGAACAAACTGCACAAACTGTGGTGATTAATGTGCAGCACTGCACACATGTTGGTCACTGAGGGAGCAAAACAGACAGTAAAACTGAAAAGTCCCACAGACCAGAGAAGAGCTGCAGGTGGGCGTAAACTTTATTTTAGATGTTAGTAACAGCAGAGAAGCCAAGAAGAGATGAAAAAACAACAAACATGAAAGCAGGTTTGGCTGGAAACGTGTCAGCACCGAACATTTTGTTAAAACTACTAGACTTCTAGATATGACCATCTTTTATAGGAATATAAATATGATTAGAAAATAACAGTAAAAAGTAGTTTTTGCTGTAAAAATGATTTATGTTCAGTAGTGACATTTGTTTCCAAAAATCTAAAGTATTACTCAGTTTATTTTTCTTCTGCATAAACATTGAAATTTTATTAAAACGTTTGATTGGAAATCTGCACCTGAGACACAAGTTAGAGGAAAAATACATTAAAGACCACGTAAAGTAAAATGTAACATTTTCTTTTTTAAACATTATAAATGTCATTGTTGTAAATGAGTACAAATTCTCTCAACTGTAGATATTTGAATAGTGGAGATACGATTCAATTTGTGTAACAAAATATCTGTGTTTCAGGATTTTTTGGGCGTCTTAAAGGGCAGCCTCGTGATGTTACGCAGCTGCCTTCAGTAAAACCCCACCCCCTGTTGCTTTAATGGAAAAGAAATCAAACATTGTTTCCTCGGTTACAGGAATGTTCAGGGTTGTGGGCGTGGTTTGAGCTCCTCCAGTGGACACGCCCCCAGCTTTCCAGACCACAGCTAACTGATATTTTTTCATTACTTTTATTAACACAAAAATTTATAAGGTTAACAGTATTTTTACTTGTTCAAACTTGGCTGGGTGATTATTAACACATATTTCTGTGGTGTGACAACCTCAGAACACATTTRWTTTTACTTTACACRGTCTTTAAATTTWTTTCATTTTGCCACAATTCATCCATTAAAGAGCCTCAAAAAGCCCCCAGAAAACCTGTGGGTTTGACACGAGTACCGTCAGCGTGGTGGTCAGTACATTTGCAGTGTTTGTTGGAACCGTCCTGAAGAACCCCTGGACTGGTGGCCACTTCAGGTCCAGGTCCTATGAGTCACACAGCATCGTTAAACACCTCGTTTAAACGTCTCACTTCCTGTTCAGCGTCGCCCTCCGTCATTTTAGGTTGTGAAAATAGTGAGATGTTCTCGGCAAGTTCAAAGCAGATTTAAACTCATTTACAAAACAGAAAATAAAAAAAATCATCCAGTTTGTGTTACTTGTTGATCGCACCTGTGCGGATGTAGAGTTGCATAGCCTGTTGCTGCTGCCGCCTCTTGATTCGTGCGTACTGCTTGGTCAGCGCGGAGATGTCGGTGCTCATCCTCTCCATCATCATGCTGTTAATGGCCGCCTGGTGTTCTGCTTTAGCGTTCCCTCCTCCTCCTCCTGCTCCCATTCCGGCTCCCACCGCTCCTGGACTCAGCTCTGCGATGGTGCCCTGCTCCGCRCGCTGGTCTGGAAGCAAAAACAATAAAGATAAAAAAAAAAAGAAGAATATGTGCAAGAAACAGTTTGAGGAGCATGTAAAACTTCTTTAGAGTCACCAGATTACATTAATCAAACTAAATCTGTTGATTTTTTTAGCTCTCATAAAAACTCCTTTTCTATTTCTGTCCTTGAAGTTAGTTTTCATCAAGATCAGCTGACCATTCCAGACATTAATCCAAATACCTCAACAWAAAAACTTAAAAACAACACAAATAMAGAAGCTTCTCTCTATGGGAAGTAATATTCTGAAGTTGTGTTTTTGCTGCAAACAGTTGCTCCTAAAAATATTACGATTTTCTCTTTGAATCACTCGGTTCAGCTCTCCCTTCTTAACTTTTGCTTTAGAAAGTAACCAGTGGTTTTATCTAAAATCCCCCCAAGCTGCTCTACACGCCACTGAAGGAGCAGGAAGTGGGGATTTGTCTGGAGGAAACAGATCAGACTGTTAGAGTTTGGACTCAAATCAAGGGCAGAACAGGAGGATTTGGGCCAGTAATGCTCTCTCTCTGTGGGTTACCAAGTTAATCCTGCGAACGTTGCCAACCTTTGAGATGTTTTTGGTATCTCTGCAGCTCAGGGGCCAGCAGACCACCCAGAGGCCCCAGACAGCCGAGCGCAGTTGCCACGGAGTCTTCATCGTCCATGTCGGCGTCGTCGTCGCTCTCCCAGCTGCTCTGACCGCCGCTGAAACGAGGTCATTCATCCTGAGAACCACTGCTAGTAACATCTCACACACAGGGTTCCCACACCTTGGTCAGCATCAAATTCAAGGACCTTTCAAGGACTTTCCAGTACCAATTTCCTCAAATTCACGCACCACACTAGTAGGCAATTACTTACTGCTACTGCAGATTGTTACCAATAAACAAGTTTACTATGTAAATTCAATGAAAAACTGAACAACATAGAAGTTGTTGAGTCAGAAACAATGAAAAAAGTGGATTAAATGTACACCATACATTCATATCTACAATACATGGACATGTAATTATGTCCTGGGAGGTTCAGCAGCTCAGTTTGGGAGGAAGGGATGTGAACATGTCCAGACGTTCAGTGAGGACAGCAGCAGCTGTAGTGCTCTCACCTGGGCTCAGAAAGAAAGACCCGCCCTACTCTGTTCTGATTGGATAAAACTATGACCATGGCTCACATTATTTGTTGAAAGCCACGTCAGTTTACAGTAATCCTGAGTTATCCACCGCAAAAAAAAAGGTAAGTTTTTATTTTATTTATGTTTTTTTTTTTGTGCTGGGCACATTAATGCATTATTATCATTCCAAATGAGTATTATGAGGAGTGAAAGATAGATGAGGCCTCTGTTGTCAGGAAAAAAAAATACAATAAGCAATAAGAAGTTTAAACGAATAATGAAATAATTTACATAGTGTGTCACACGTATTACAACTCACAAAGTACACATTCAGCCATAGCTGAGCGAGCATTTCTAAAAAATAATAATAATAAAGATTAATGGCGATTAAAATTCTTAATCTAAGCCCAGCACAAATTATTATTTWTTTACAGATGATAAAAATCAGTTGTGTGAATAGAGAACTTCAATCCCCAAAAAAACATTCAAGGACTTCCAAGGACAAGTATAATTTTTGGCTGTTTTCACAAACTTTCCAGGGCCTTGAAATCATTTTTTCAAATTCACAAACTTTCAAGGATTTCAAGGACCCGTGGGAACCCYGCACRCAAGCATGCCATAAATCRGAAGATGAATAAATTAAAGTTGCGTGTTTACTCAAGACCCCCAAAAGCATATTTATCACACAAAAACACATCTTTGTGCGATTAATCATGAAGTTGTTGAGTTTGAGAGTTTATCACAAACCTTCCGTTAGATTTGACTGAGGTAGGGAACGGAGTGATGTTGTAGGTGTATTTCTCTCTCAGCTCAGCCAGCTGGGGGAAGGGAAACACGGCCATGGAGTAAACCTCCTGCCAAACAGAGGAGGGGCGTGAGGCTAACTGCAGTTAGCTTTAAAGGTCACGCGACGTTAGCGCCGTACCTGCATGAGTTCAGCCGGATCCATCAGGTTGTGTTCCAGCATCTCCTGAGTGAGACAYCCCATCGTGCTGTAAAACTCGTCTGCTGTCTGACAATACTCGATCCTCCTGAACACAGAACGAACRAACAAACACGCAGCAGTTAAAAGAAATCATCTGAATTCTTCGTTTGTTTGGATTATTTTTTTAAGGCTTCACTTACTCTCCCAGCCTCTCCCAGATGGCGAGAGCGACCCGAAACAGAACCTCCGAGCCCTCGAAGAAAACCGAGTCCCAGATCTTCAGGACGGTGGGCGCTGGCAGGCAGGTAGCGAACATGGTCAGAAACCACTGCATAGTGAAGACGTTGGTCAGAGGAGGTTCATAGCTGCCTGATGGGGGGAAAACAAAAAACACAACTCGAAAACGAGCAGGCCCGGGACATTTCTGCAGCCTGAAAACGACAAGAACACGCAGCCGTACCTCCTGCTTCTCTGTTGGCTGCTTTCTGAAGGTGATGGAGGTGCTGAGACAATCTGGGCAGCTTCAGACGCAGCAGATCTCTGAACACCGCCATGTCAACTAACAACACAACGTCACAAGACAAGTGCATTCAGCCTCTACATACAAAGTTTTCCAGCCATGTATCATAAAAAGTACAGATACTTTAAGACTAAAAAAACCAAAAGTGAATCTAATCCATCCTAAATGTCAGTAAGTTCTTGTTAGAAAGGTGATCATTAGAACATTGGGCCCACGGTTCTCCTCTGCAGGTTGTTAAACAACATGTGAGGTTCTTGAGTTGACTTTCAAAAATCCATTAAAAGTTAGAATTTATTTGTCGTAATTGTTAAAAACTAATTTAAAAAGGCAATTATAAATTAATAAAATAACTGAATTATTAATGTTTTGACGCTTCAACACCAGGAAAGTTGGTTCTGTGTTAAAAACCAGTGTTGTTTTTGACAGCCATTTTAATTTTAGCCTTAGTCTTTTGAACAAAAATACTTCTTACTTTTAGTTATTTTTATATTTAATGGTTTTAGTCCAGCTTTAGTCGATGAAAACTTAAAAAAAAAATTGTTTAGTTTTAGTCTTTAAAAAAAGACTATATATTAGTCTTTACAAATTAATTTGAGTAATTTGTGTTAACATTTGTGAATTTGTGTTACTCTAAAAATGCCCAAAACAAAAACATTCTCACTTTGTGGCTTTATTTCTCAGCATTTGCTAAAGTGCAATGAACAYACACAATACACATGCCCAGTATTATAAGCAAGAAAGGGGAACACACATGTTCAACTCAAACTTGTCAGCCAGAACGATGAAGATGCATCTTATTTATAAAAACGGACATCATGCAGTCCTAAACTTAGTAGACTATTAAACTTGTGCAAACGAGTGTTTACATGCACCAGGCTTTCATTCAGAACAGAAGCACTGACATGCGCAGCTGCTAACTCCCCTCTGCAAAAAATAAAATAAACAGAAGAGTTTTACTTTCGTCATGAACGTAACCAAACATACATGTGACAAAATTTCAAGTGGATATCATCAACTTGTGTTTACTATGCATGTTGAAGATTATAAATATACAAAGCTTTGAAAAAAAATATCAATAGGGTGTACAGGGGAGTAGTTCCTGCGATTCAGTTTAGGCGAATTTTAGCATTTTTTTGTGTTTGCTCCAGCTATTATGCATCAAACATGAAATAATCATAGGAATCTTTTTTCAACAAATTACACATGAAAAGACAAAAATAAAATGGGGTGAATGGTGTCTGTCGGATGTATAGTTTAGGATTTATAGATTTAAAGTTTTCATTTTTCACAATGGAAAATCCAAGTCGGCCATTAAAGATGGTCAATAAAAACATATATGGGACAATAATTTGCTCTGGGGCTAACACAATCTATTTACTAAACACCTTAAGGATTACGAAAAGTTAGGTTAAAAAAAATGTATCTTTCGGGTGCATGGGACCCCCACCTTCCTACTAGACTATCAGAATGGACCTGCAACAGCTTTTAATGGTGGAGACGTTACTCCCTGGTTAAGCTACAGGTGATGGACTTTTTTTTTGCGAAGCGGCGCAGGCTGTGAGAGGACGGGAGGAAAAGTTCTGTGCTGCTGTGCGTGTGTGTGTGTGTGTAACAGCGCTGCTGTCCCTCCCTCCACTCTGCATTCTAAATGATTGACAGACCACTGACTAACATTTTCGTTACAGTCTCATCAACGAAAACTCACACACGTTTCGTCATGTCTTAGTCATCAAAGATGTTTATTTCGTTACCGTCTCATTATCATCATGAAAAAAGGGGGCGTCAATGAAAATATTTTGTCATCGTTAACGAAAACAACACTGAAACAAACCATTGAAATTATCCTCAGACCCATTCAGTTACAGATGTTTCATATATTTTAGCCCTTTTGACTCAGAACAGAAAAGCTTTCCAGCACTGCTGATTGCAGAGAAATGAGATGTTTGTCTCGAGGTTTTGAACTTTTTTAATAGTTACAAAACGTAATGTGTGCTGTTTATTTTTTTTATTGTTTTCATTTGTTTATGAGCGTCAAACTGTGTTGTCGTAGATACCAACCTGACAAAGCTCGCAGGTTGTTTGCAAAATAACTGTCTGGCAGGACTTTGTCAATCAAATACACCATCACCTAATAACAGAAAAAYACAACAAATAACCAGTTTAGACAAATTAAAAAGGACATAAATTAATATTAGAAATCCAAATGTTTACGTGTTATGTTAAGGCACATTTTGCAGGTGTTTTGTAATTTATCTACCTTAAGAGCATCACTCTCRTTGCCTTCTGTAACTTCCAGTATGAGAGCAGCCAGAACATTGAATCCTTGGCAGTAACCCACAGCTTTATTCCAGCGGGCGTAAGCCAGCAGAACCCGCTTCAGCACCACCCTGTCCTGCTCCCCCTCCTGGCCGCAGTAGGAACTGCAGCCTGTCCGGTGCAGATCCTGAGGACGACAGAAACTGCAGAAATGAGCCCTCGTGTGATGCAGTCAGAACAAAAACAAGACACAGTATGTGGACTGGACTTTGTCCTGATGTCGGAGGGAACCATGTYCTGTTGGATCCGAGTCACTGAGACGTGCATCGTTTCCATGACGCCTTCGTCCTGCTCTCTGACACACAAAAGCAAACATCCTCGGCTGAAAGCTACTCTTCACAGATGGATCAGCTTTCAGTGACACACAACATTTGTATATAATAAGCACTCTAATTGTTGGGTTAGAATATGTGAAAGGTTAAAATATTTTAAATAAACTTCATCAAAATCCCTCTAGAGTCTGTTTTTCAGGGATGTATTTGATCCACATTCTTGAGGAGAAAGAAGCCTCCACTTTAGGTGCTGTGGACAACTAAAATGAAAACGTTCCCCAGCCCAACGGCATGCAAATAAAATCTTGTCACCTTGACGATTTGGATGCCGAGGGAGTCGTCGTCCGGATTGCTGCGCTCGTTAAAGGCAAAACGAAGAGTTTTCTCCCAGTCGATAGAGATACTGTGGAGGTACTGGTCTGCCAGTGTTAGCCAAACCTGAAAAGATCCAGCAGCAAACGGACAATAAAAACCAGGAGAACCAATCTGAGAAGCGGGTGGAAACAGACAAAAACTAGTTTATGTTCATAAAGATGCTATAAATCCCTAACAACAAAAGTCACATACCTTCTTTCTCCATTCTTTTGGTATCCCAGTAGGAAGCCTGGCCACAGCTTTAAGGGCGTCATACCACTGTCAAACAGGAAAAAAAATTGTCTTTTCATTTAACATTACAACATCCAACCACATAAACCCACTGWAGCTTTATTTGTCAGACATCCACAAACACAATTCTACCCTGAAATTATCTTTTTAAACATTCTTACATTCATTTCAAACATAAAATATGCAGATGCACCAAAACAAAATATCTCCTGTTTTCAGAGGAGTGCACTTCAAACATCCTACATCTCACTACATTTTACATCCAAGGAATCAGACTTTCCTATAATCTTCTAAAGCAAGTAYGATCAGAAGCTCTTTTTGAAAGTCAATCAACTGGGGTGGCCAATCAGGTTCAAGGCAAACCCTTCTGGCTCCGCCCCTGTCCAGAAGTATCTGTCTGGGTAACATGTGAAGCACAACCAGCATAACTCCAACAATAAGCCGAGCGCCGTCTTCTCAGAGGGTTATTGGGACACGTTTCCAGCGCTCACCTGTTGGAAGCCGTTCTTTCCCAGCGAGGGTTCGATGGTGAACTTCAGCCTCGTGTCCACTCCTAGAAAACAAACAAGAACACCTGCTTAGAGCAGAGGTGATAATGAGACCGGCCTGCTGTTTGTGTGCAGAGTAAAAAAAAACACGGATCAACATCAACATTTCAAACGTCCAACATGTTTTCAGGCTTTTTTAGAAACAGATTTAGATGGTAGTTTCTGTTAGAGGGAGGATTTGTCCTCATGCCTRWTGGTTCAYGATGAGTCGCTGTTCACTTCCACTWAGTGCTGAATCTGTGCTTCAGTCTCCTCCCTCTTCACTCGGAGCTTAAACTTCWTTTACAGACTAACCCTCCTCCAAAACCGAGCGGAAATGAAATATCTGATCTGAAGTTAAGACGGGGTGTGGACTCTGAGCCAGCAGCTGCGACTGACCGAGACTCAGCCGGCTTGTTTTCGACCCACGGAGCTGATTTTATTCTTTAATAAAAAGGTCMGTTCGTTTAACGGGACAAACAGAACCGGGTTTCACCTGCACCGTCCTGCTCAGCTGCTGTCCCCTGCRCCATCCTGATCCAGTTCCTCTGCAGGGATTCAGCAGAGGATTAACACTGAAAACCCTCCTCCTCCTTCCAGATTATACACCAGGAAAACATGCTTCTACTGTCTGTTTGCATTTGTATCTGTCTGTTAGCAAAATATCTCAAGAAGCAGTGTGTAAATTTGAATGAAATTTGCAGAAAGTGATGACTGGATGTACGGCTACAGCTGATTAACATTTGGAGTCAACCTGAAATAAGATGGCTGCCACACACTACTGACCTAAATAAAACACAAAAATGGCTATAACTCATTCAGTTTTATAAATATTGACTGAATGTTTGGCGTGGTAGTAGCTGAGACTAATCCCCAAAATATCTCCTGAGCTCTAACGATTGTACAAGATCTTAGTTTAAAACTTTGACATTAACTAAAGGAGTCAACTTTGACTCTGTTAGCAAAATATCTTGTGAACCACTGCACGGGCTTTAACGAAACTTTCTGGAGAGACCATTTGGGTGAACCTCCACAACTCATTCACTTTTAGAGTCAGTACAATTGCAGATGGCCACCACAGCTGATTGAAATATGGCAAACACCCAGTAACCTACATTTTTACAGATATTGAACTAAAATTTGATTAGAACCCGAGTCTATTAAAGTATCTTTTTGCACTTATTTATAACATTCCCTTTTTACAATACGTGTTTCAAAACACAATAATCTTAAATCCATAACAAAACATCCACGTTAAGCAGCCTGTGTAAATTATAGGAAATGATGCCTTCAGGGACCCTCTGGAAAACAGAACTCTACATTAGTAAACTTGAAATAAATATAATAAAGCAAAAATAAAATAGGTTGAGCAGCTTTTCCTGTTTTCAAAAAGCTGAAATGTCGATATTTAAATGCTTGAACTTAGACAAATAACAACTATTTATTATTTTTATTATTATTAATGTTGCTAAAATATTGCTCGGTGGTTCTGCTGTTTGCGTCAAATCTGAAGCGCCAGATCCGGACCGCGGGGCTTGGATGGATCACCTGGCTCTAAGGTGCAGAGCAGCCTCGGTGCGCTCCTGGAGATCCCGTTCCGCTTCCTCAGGACGCTGCTGATGATGTTCCCGACCCCTCCCGAGCCCTGCTGCCGCTGCCTCCCGCCCCCCCTCGGCCTCCTGCCGGCAGCGGAGAGCCGCTCCTGCCTCATCCCGGAACCAGGCCGTCTCTCAGCTCATCGTCCGGAACCGCTCGTAAAAATAAATCCTCCCTGGTCGGTTTTATCAGAGAGCGTGTCCTCTGCTCCACTTAACGCCCCACCACCTCCCTCCGAGGCGGTAGAAAAATATGAATCGATTAAAGTGATGTTTGCAAATCTCCTCCGGATTCTGTCTGATCGACAGACAGATTAAAAACAAACAAACAAAAAAAACTTTACGGAGCAGAAAATAACAAAGAAGGTTAAAAATATCCGCTATGCTGAGAAGGAAGTAATGGATCYTGATGCTTCTGATGATGATGCTGCACCTCCTCCGGGTTGGCGTCACCAAGAGGAGGCGCCAAGACGGAGGGATGCGTGATGGAGGAGGATGAGGTAATGGAGAAGAGGAGGAGAAAGTGCGTTAAAAAAATTTGAATTCAGGTTGTCTAACAAGAACATGAGTGCTAATGTTGTTTAAGGGTCAATAAAATTAAGCCATTTTATTTGTTTATTTACAGACTAATGCATAAAGTTTATTTTAGCAGCAACATATGKAGTGTAGTTGTATATGGCACACAAGCCAAAGGTTTAAAAAACTGGGGAAATAATTTAAAAATATTTAATTTAATCTTTACATTGGGGATTCTTTGCCAATTTGTTTTTTCAGGCTGTTCCAAATGAGGAGGTGAACAGTGGTCCAGGTATGACCTGCATACCACC